GCTCTGTGCCCGCAGGCCGCTACCTGTCCCTGGAGCAGGTGCGGGAGCTGGTGCAGCCCTCCCCGGCTGCGCTCATGACCGTGCTCAAGTGGCTGCAGGGCCACGGCGTGGGGAGCTGCAGCACTGTGAGCACCCTGGACTTCCTGGAGTGCCGCATGCCCACCAGGTGAGCCCTGGGCGGCACTGGGCCTGCTGCAGAGACCGTGCCGCCGCTGGCAGCAGAGAGGCTGCGTCCTCACGGGGCCATCCTGTCCATGGGACTTTGCCCTGCGGGCTGGGGCACACAGGGCTTGGCCTGGTTGCCTTCTCAGTGAGGGCTCTGCAGCGGAGAGCTGGTGTCCTGTGTCCCTAGTCAGTCACCAGGAACCCACAGGCCAGCATGTGAGTGCTGAGCACAGGCTGTCCCCGCATGTTGGGTGCTTGGCCTAGCTGCACCTCCTCCTTCCTCTTTTCAGAGGCACTTAGTGCCCACAGGGGCCAGGGTTGTGCGTGACCCTGCAGCACAGAAGCTCTATTTCACATTTGGCTGTCAGGCCTCAATTGGGGTCAATTGGGTAGTGGTGATGCCCTTTGCTTCACAAGCCCTGTGCTGGTGGGAAGCAGGACTCAGCCCTGACTCTTCTCAGCAGCAAGAGGGTGGAAGGGTGTGGGAGGCCGTGCAGAGCGCAGACATGTTGTCATCCCAGTCGCCAGGCTCAGATGCGCTCTGTGCTTGGAGCCGTCCTGCGAGTCCCGTGTATCGCGGTCCCTGTCTTGCAGCACAGCTGAGCACCTCCTGCCAGGGGCCGAGTTCCACCGCTATGTGAAAGGTCGGCGCAGCGTTGTGCGCTCCCCACTTCCCTACAGCGTCCCTGAGGAGCTGGCCGAGCACATCGACTTTGGTAGGAGCTCCGTGGGGCACCTGGGCTCCCTGGAACAGGGAGCTCTGGCGCAGGGGAGGTTGAGCGCTGCCAGCTGGGTTTGGGCTGCCGTGGGGACTGAGAGGACAGCGCGGCAGATTAGCCAGTGTCTGAAGTAGGTGTTTTTGGACTAGTGGCCTGGCAGTGCGGAGATGGAGGTGTGTTGCCAGGTGACATCTATGAGGATTAGGGAGGAACCCGAAGGGAGCAGCTCGTGCCCAGCCCTCTGCAGCGTGGGGGCTGAGCAGGCACAGTGAGGATGAAGCAGCAGGGCTCTAACACTGCCTGGCCAAAGCTTTGGGCCCTAATAACTGGTCCATGTCCTTTTTGCTTCTGTACCAGTGGGGGGTCTGCACCGGTTCCCTGCAGAGAGGAAGGTGGTCAGCAGAGCCTGGGCCAAGAAGGAAGCAGAACCAAGGCAGCACCATGGAGGGAAAGCGGCTTTCCACCTGGGTGTGACACCCTCCATCATCCGTAAAAGATACAACATGACAGGAGGAGATGTCGGGGTACTGGCAAACAACAGCCAGGCCTGTGCGCAGGTAAATGCTTGCAGCCCAAGGCTCACATGCTATGGGGATTTGGCACATGGGGTTTCTTCAGTATGTGGGTGCTCTCTTGGCCCTGGGAGTCCTCGGCATCTGGTGGGAGCGCAGGACCATCTGGCATTCCACAGACCTGCGGCGGGCCAGCTCTCCAGGTCATCAGGACAAATCCTCACTGTTGGCTCCTTGTCCCCCCAGTTCCTGGAGCAGTATTTCCACCAGGCGGATGTGGCTGAGTTTATGCAGCTCTTTGGCAGCAGCTTTGGCCACCGCTCTCAGGTTGACCGTGTGGTTGGGCACCAGGGCTGGGGCAAGGCTGGGCTGGAGGCCAGTCTGGATGTGGAATACATCATGAGCACAGGAGCCAACATTTCCACATGGGTCTTCAGCAACTCAGGTACTGATATCTGTTCTGCAGCTGCTCTGCACTGCCCTGTGGCCCTTTCATGCTCCTCCTCCTTGCTGTTGTAGCGATAGCACATCTGCTGCTGCCTGGGGAGACGCTTGCGCTTTGTCAGGAACACAGAACTAGATATATTGAGTCTGTTATCTGTCTCTGGTAAGAGGCAAAGGTGAATGGCTGGAGGTATTTGTGAATGGTGTGTCCCCAGTGTTCCCGACATGCACGTGATAGGCCTACAGAGCAGGAGGTGGCTGTAGAACAGCTGCTAGAGGATTCATCTTCCACCAGTTTAGAGCTGCTTTTTGAATCCATGTAAACTTTCATCAGCTACAGACTCTTGCAACAAGAAGTTCCACAGCTTGACTGCACAGTATAATCATAGAATCATAGAATGCTTGGGGTTGGAAGGGACCTCTAGAGATCATTTAGTCCAACCCCCCTGCACACGCAGGGTCACCTAGAGCACGTGGCACAGGGCTGCGTCCAAGCGGGTTTTGCAGATCTCCAGAGAAGGAGACTCCACAACCTCTCTGGGCAGCCTGTTTCAGGGCTCTGGCACCCTCACTGGGAAGAAATTTTCCTTAAGTTCCTGTGGAACTTTTGGTGTTTCAGTTTCCGGCCGTTTCCTCTAGTTCTGTCGGTGGCCACCAGTGAAAAGAGGCCAGCCCCATCCTCCTCACTGCCTCCCTTGAGGTACTTCTAGACACTGCTCAGGTCCCCTCTCAGCCTTCTCTTCTCCAGCTGAACAGGCCCAGCTCCCTCAGCCTCTCCTCATAGGGCAGATGTTCCAGGCCCCTGATCATCCTTGTGGCCCTGCGCTGGACTCTTTCCAGCAGCTCCACATCCCTCAAAAATGATAAAGCATCTATCCCAGTCTGCTTCCTTCTCATGGAGAGAGTACAACAAGTGTCTCATTTTCTTCTTTCTCTTGCCTCCTCTTTCTGAGGATGTGAAGCTGCTCTCTTGCCCGCAAGTCTGCCAGATTAGATAAAAGAGAGTGAGGCAATCTGAGGAAGCTGCGCTGCAAACCAGGCCGCACAGTAATGGCTGCAGTGCTGCAGCACGAAGGGTGGTATGTTCCAGGTCAGAGATGGACTGGCCAGGAGGCAGAGCACATTTAGGACCCCCAGCTCCATCTTCACCTTTTGGAAGGCGCATGCGCCTTCCACCTCCTGCCTGTGGAGTGGGGCAAAGAACATGTGGAAGAGAGGCAGAGATAGTGGGAGACAGCCCAGCAGGTTGCGGAGAGGAGATGGACCAAGCAGGACACAGGCAGCAGGGAGGTGCATTGCAGACTCATCCAGGCCATGGGAATGGGCAGCATGAGGGTGAGTGGCAGCTGTGGGTGGAAGCGAGCAGAGCTGCCATTTACAGGATCACACTCACCTGCCTTGGCACAGGGAAGGGATAGGACAGGTGTCCCTGAGCAGGCTCTGGAGAGCTCTGCTTGTGGGTGCAGGAAGAGCTTTGCACCACGGCCTGTCTGCAAGGGTCGTTACAGCCCTGCAGCAGCTGCTCAGGAAGATGGTGAATGAAAGTAAAAACCTGCCCAGGGTTGGGGGCGACCCTTTCCCTAGGCCTCCAGCAGAGCCGGAGCCCAGCACCATCCCCTATGGCACGGGATTGCACACAAGTTGCAGTTGGGAGGCACCTCTGGGCTCTTGTGAGTGTCGTATCTAGGGCAGCCCCTGTTCAAACAGTTACCAGAGCAGGTGCTTAGTGCCATGTCCAGGCAGCCTTTGGACACCTCCAAGGAGGGAGGCCCTGCCACCTCTCCGGGCACCTTTCCCCAGTGCTCAGCTCACTCATCCTTTTGCAGTAAAAGAGATTTTTTTTCCCCCCCCAATGTTTAGTTGGAGCTTCCTGTGTTTGATTTTGTGCCCACTGGACAGCACTGGAAAGAGCGTGGCTCTTCCTTTTTGCACCCCCACCATGGGTTTATGCAGCTTAGAATCACAGAATCATTGCGGTTGGAAAAGACACTCAAGATCATGAAGTCCAATTATAAACCCATCACCATCCTTCCTGTTAAACCATGTCCATGAGTGCCTCATCTACACATATCTTGAGCATGCCAGGGACAGTGATTCCACCACTGTCCTGAGCAGGCGGTTCAAATGCTTGACTACTCTTTCCGTGTAGAAATTCCTCATGTCTAACCTGAACCTCCCCTAGCGCAACTTGAGGCTATTTCCTCTTGTCCTGTTGGTAGAAGAGATGAACCCACTACAGCCTCCTTTCGTATAGAGAGCAATAAGGTCTCCCCTGAGCCTCCTCTTCTCTGGACTAAACCCCAGCTCCCTTGGCCATGCCTCATGAGGGAGATGAGTCACTTACCAGTCCCTTAGCCACCCCTGCAGCCCTTTTCTGGGTTTGCTCTGGTAGGTCCATGTCTCGTGTGGGAAGGAGCTTGGAGCTGGGCACTGCCTCAGGTGTGGGGCGATGTCCAGTACCCGCCGTGCTGCCGCCGGAGCCTGCAGGGATGCTGCGGCCGAGCTGCTGCAGATGGGGCCGGCAGCACTGCCAGCTGCTGCGAGCATCAGTGCTGCTGCTGGGGCATGCAGGCCCCTTCAGCCCTGTGCTCTGCAAGCCCCCGCCATGGGACAAGCTAAACCTGCCCCTTCCCTCCCTGCAGGGAGGCACGAGAGCCAGGAGCCCTTCCTGGCCTGGCTGCTGCTGCTCAGCAACATGTCCGCGCTGCCCGGCGTGCACTCCGTGAGCTACGGCGACGACGAGGACAGCCTGTCGCGCGCCTACCTGCAGCGCGTCAACGTGGAGTTCATGAAGGCAGCCGCGCGGGGCCTCACCGTGCTCTTTGCCTCAGGTGCGGGCTGCCAGGAAAACCTCGGCCCGGGGCACGCACAAGCAGCCTCGGCCCCGGGAAGCTTCCCCTGGCCGCTATGGCTGCGGGCCCCGTGCAGGAGCCGCGGCTCAAGGGGGGCAGCCCCTTCCCCTGCTGCTTTGGGCAGGCGGGCAGCTCAGCACTGCCCGGTAACGGTGTCCCTGCCTGCAGGGGACGATGGCGCTGGCTGCAGGAGGGTGTCCAGGGGCAACCACACTTTCCGGCCCAGCTTCCCAGCCTCCAGGTAATGGGAGCGGCTTGACCTGGGCCCTCCGGGTGGACGTGGCTGCCACGGCTCGCCCAGGCCCGCGTGGGCTGCTGCCTCAGGCTGGCTTTGCGGGGACTCCTGGGCCTCGGAGCCGGCGCAGCCCCCCCTCCGTGCGGGTGGAAGCAGGGGAGGGGGCTCGGGTCCATGCAGAGGGCATCATGCACCACTCCTGTCCCCACAGCCCCTACGTGACCACTGTCGGGGGCACATCCTTCAAGAACCCCTTCCTGGTGACCGCAGAGGTGACAGATTACATCAGTGGAGGGGGCTTTAGCAATGTTTTCCCCATGCCTGAATACCAGGTGAGGCAGCCCCTGCCCTGCTACTCCCAGGGGTTTCTGATGGGATCGTGGGTTGTGCCGGACTCGCAGGAGCGAGTGCTGGGCTGTGCTCCGGATCTGGGCTGGGGCCAGGCGGGAGCAGGATGAATAAGAGCAGGACCCTCATCACGCTC